CCCCCTCCCCTCGCGACACCTGCTGCGCGCGCCCTCCGGGCCGAGCCCTGGGCCTGGCCTGCCTGGGAGGAGCAGGAGGCAGAGGTCGTTACACCCGAGGGAAGCCGAGGTGCAGAGAGCACGCGTGCACCGGTGGTGAAGGGTCAGGCTGGAGTTCCAACTCGGGAGTGCCCAGCTCCTGGCAGTCTGGTGAGGTCCCACCACAGAGCCCCTTTGCACCCCCAACCTCATCCCATCTCCTCCCACTGGGACTCCATTCACTCCTCAGTGGCTCCAACCTGCGCAGAGTGGATGAGGCAGGGCAGGGCATGGAGGCCGGAGCTTAGCCACTTATACCAGCCTGATCCTGGGTGGCACTGATACTCCCCACACAATGAACCGGAAACTGTCCTCATGTATTGACTTAAATACACAAACATAAAACTAGTTCTGACTCCCGAGAAGCTCTGCCGCTTTTATGGCATTAGGAGGCCTGCTCTTGGTTTTGCTTTTCCTGTTTTGGGGAATTAAGTCTCTGTCCTGGGGTGGTGGGGTTACACAGAGGCTCAACTAGGGCTTCTGAGCTCACGTGCAGTAATCTCACACACAGCACTTCTGAGGCAGCTTCCTCTACCTTAAAAAGAAGGCCTTCTAATCCCTGCCTGCCCCAGGAGATCCACATGGTAAGGCAGACCTCTCCTGATCTGCCTGCTGCTCCCCTCAGCAGTGTACTTTGTCGATCTCCCTGTTCTGCTCCCCACTCTGTCTCTGGTGAATCCTGGCACCCCGCATCTCTGGCCTGTACCCCAGTTCTGTATGAATAAGTAAAGAAATCTTAAAAAAAAAAAAAGGCCTTCTACAGTTCTTTCAAGAACACAGATTTAAACTCAGGCACTGTTTTAAGTGCTTTATACCAATAACTCCTTTGATGTTCACAAGAATCAACATGAATGAATACCATTATTCCAGTTTCAAAAATAAGGAAATGGAGGCACAAGAAGGTTAAATGATTTTCTTGGGTCACACTCCCCAAAGAGGCAAAGGTGAGGCAGTCTGACTCCATGCAGCGCCAAGCTTCTGGATTCCAGGGTGGCCTGACCCAGGGCTTCCCCTTTCCCTTCTTGACCTTAATGTGCCAGCGTGCAGATCAAGGAAGGCAGATCAAGCCTAGCGCTAATGCCACCAAGCACAATTTGGGTGCTGCCCCTACTCTTTTATTATTATTATTATTGTTAAAGATTTGTTTATGCACACAGAACTGGGGTACAGGCCAGAGGTGAAAGGATTCACCAGAGACAGAGTAGGGACCAGAACAGGCAGATTGACCAAGTCCACTGTTGAGGGGAACAGTGGGCGGGTAAGGAGAGGTCTGCTCCGCCGTGTGGTCACCTCCCTGGCCAGGGATGGAATACGTGAAGTGGCTAATTCTAGCATCCTAGTGCTGTGTTTTAACCTGTTGTGCCACCAGGGAGGGCCCTGTCTCTACTTTATCTACTCCCTCCTTCCTCAAAGAATTCTGCTACACTGGGCCCTCTCTAGCTAAGAAAAGCTGGAAGTAATCAATACTAATCAATACATAGCTGTTTCAGAGATTAGGTTCTGAGCTTCTTGCTTTCCTTTTTTGGAAAATCTACTTCACAGTATCATAGGGCTATTATGAGAATTAAGTAAGATAACGTGAATAGACCTCTTACCCAACTTCTCTATCAGAGCAGATGCTTATTAACATCAGTACCTTTTCCCTTCTCCATCACGATAGGTTAACTCATCACTTATCCTCGGTATTTAGCATAATGCTGGTACTCAGTTAATGTTAGTTTATTAAATGGAGGTTTTAAACTGACTACATAAAATAAGTCTGTAATTAAAAAGAAAATAAGATAAATACATAAAATAATATATATAGTATATAAATGCTGTGAATATGTACAACTATATATAAAAGCAAAAATACTGCATCTGCTTCAGATGGGCAAAAGGTCAAGAACACTCTGTAGATCAGATTACCTGGAGGTAAATCCAGGCTCCACTGAGTATTCTGGGGTGGTTGACTGAACTGCTCTGTTTCTCAGACTCATATGTACATGGGAAATAACTCTTCCTCATAGGGGTTTTCTTTTTCTTTTCTTTCTTTTTATTAAGACATACAGGCCAGAGGTGCAGGGGCGGTGAGAGGATTCACCAGAGACACAGTGGGGAACAGAACAGGCAGACTGAGCACAGTGCTGAGGGGAGAAGTAGGCAGGTCAGGAGAGGTCTGCCGTACCACGTGGGTCAGCTCCAGGGCAGGGATCAAACTCATGCTGAAGTAGCTTTAGCTTCTCAGTACTGTGCTTTCACTGGCTGTGCCACCAGGGCGGGGCCCCCCATAGGGTCTTTCAACAGAAGTGACCAGAGCATTCAGAGTATGCAAGGCACGCAGTACATGGTCATCATTACTACTAAGGTTGTTTGATACATTTGAGTAAATCACATGAGGTAAGTTTAAAAAGAGGCCAGGTCATAGCAGACAGACACTTCTCACCAGATCATTTCAGAAGGTAAAGCTGTATCCTCTCAGCACCTCCTTAGGTAGCCACCTCCGCCACATCAGGGGATTTGTGTGCCTGACTCAGGGTCTGCAAGGTCTGTGAAGACCTGGCTGGGGTAGGTGGCACTTCATACTGATGTGTGCCCTTTTTTGGAGCTTCTCTAAATAAACTTCAAACATCCTCCAATGTGAGAGTTGATAGTGTGAAGAGAATACCATTAGAGATGAGGTCAGATAATTGTTTAGTGGCTAGGAAAGTTTGCAAACTGCCTTCCTGTATTTTGGCATTAGGTCCCTCACACACCTGTCTAATAGAAAGCTGTCAGTTATTGGATGGCTCCTCAGCCAAAGGATGCTGTAGTTGGGTATGCCCCTGTGCTTTGGTGGAGATGGTTTCCAACCTGAAGAATATCTCCAGGCAGGGCTCCTGACCTGGGGAGGACCTATGATGCTATAGAGTATGTGATGGCTGAGTTTCGGGGCTCCTCCATCCACAGCAGAAGTTGCTTAAAACCAGAAGAACTAGATTAAAAACAGTACCCTTCAGGATGGTGGGTTTCTTTTAGATAAGCAAGTTTCTTTTAAAAACTGAATGTCTTTAGTTTGACAATTTGCAGATCCAAGTTTAGGGTACAACATGCTCAGGTAGAAGCAGTAACTGAGGCCAATATCGGGTGTACCATGCTGCCCCAAAACCTGTGCCACCCACTGTCTGCTTGTCATTTGCTTTACAAAAATACTTGTTTAAAATATAATCACGGCCAGGGATACAATGGGACCAGGAGGAGAAATACTGCCTTTTGTCTTTGTTAGATGAAACATAAAAGTCATCTTTCCTCTCTTTGATGCATGGTTTCAAAATGTGTTGATAATCAGGGATTTCCTTTGGTGCTTTGGGGAAGATTGCTTTACCACTTCTGACTAGTGGAGGCTCCACTAGACACACTGTGTGCTTTGCTTTGCAAATCCTCTGGGATAGGAGTGATCCCCATGGCTTCAGTGTCTCTGTGGGCACTTTCACTTTCAAGGTCTGCAGGATATGCATAGTCACCTCTGGGGAGGGTTGTTTTATGTACCTAGAAGAATGCAATGATTTGTGTTTGGTCCCCAGCCTTAGCTGAGGACTGAGACCAAGGAGAACTTTTCCTTACTACTGAGGCCTTGCAATGGTTCCATCTTCAATAAAGCTGGTCCTAGCCAGTAGGGGGTTTTGGGAAGGAACATTGCTTCCAGGATGTTCATTTGCCAGAGTTCTTTTTCATTTATTGCTTGTCAGACTAATCAAGGACAGAAGAATAGTCGCCCTAAAATAACAATAACTAAAACATTCTGAATAATGTTTAAACACTTGTTCAAATAAAAATTCGTTTGATCTTCACAAATCCCCATGCGATAGATGCTATTGCTCTTATTTACAGATGGGAAACTAGACCTGAGAGAGGTGAGCTGTATTGGCACACCATGGCCAGGAACATAATAACGAAGATTTGAACCCCCGGCAGTCAGAGGCCAGAGTACACACCCCAACCCCCATGCGGTACTGCCTCGCTTAGCCTGAGTGTGCTGAAAGTGTTTGTGTGTGTAAACGGGTTCTACAGCACCCCATCTGTCACAGGACCCTCACGTTTGACATCACATTAGACATCACAATGACAGTCATTATTTAAATTTTTAAAACTGGCACTTACAATTTCTGCACATTTTGAACAATAGCTGAGCTGTTGAGATTTCTTAAAAACTGGTCTCAGAGCTCTCTGTTTGAAACATTTATCACAGGAGCCAAATACATTAACTAAAAAAGTCTGATCACACATCTTTTACCCAAGATGAACCTGAAAAAGATGAAAAGGATACATGTGTGAAAAAGTAACAGAAGCAATTTTTTAGAACTTCATCTTCCTTTTATCATAGTAGCTGCTCAGGCATTTACACGTGGGATAACTTATATGCAGTTAACACTGTAACCTTTGATTTACTATGGCAGTAGGCCAAACCCAACTCAATCAGTAAGAAATCCTCAGACAACAGGTCTACTGAACCTGCTGTTTTGGTGACTAGCAGACATGTCAGAATTGATCTCTGTTGCACAATATCCATCCTGTGGGGCTTCACAACTGAAAACATTGTTGTGATGGATTCTTTAATTTGGAACAACAAAAATCTTCCCCCTCTTCCTCCAAAATGGTTAGAGCAAAGACAAGAGTCAAAAACTAGCAGACTCCCACCAGTGCCTGAGATCAATGTGTTATTGGACCCTCCCTGGTGGCGCAGCAGGTTAAAGCACAGCACTGCAAGCAAGCTGCAGCCACTTCAGTGTGAGTTCAAGCCGTGGTCCCGGAGGTGATCCACATGACACAGCAGATCTCTCATGACCCGCCCGCTGCTCCCCTCAGCAGTGTATTTTATCAATCTGTCTGTTCTGCTCCCCGCTCTCTCTCTGGTTAATCTGTTACTGCTTCTCCACGCTGGCCTGCACCCCCCCCCCAGTTCTGTATGTATAAATAAGTAAATCTTTAAAATAATACCTCATTTTAAAAAAGTGTGATATTGACTCCCTGCATGGAAGGTATCCTACCTTATTAAACACATGACAGTCACCAACCCTGGGTATACCTCCTGTTCACCCAGAAGTCAACAGCCCCAGGTCTGTTGGACTACTGAAGGGAGGACAACCTTGAGAAAGCAAAAACATTTTAGTGGCTAAAGGTGCTGGCTCTCTGAATCTTTGCTAATCTATCAAGTGAGGATCTTGAAATCTACCACCACATGGTGGCTAGAGGAATTGTAATATAGTGGGGTTGTGGTGGGGTTGAGGGTGAAAATACAAGAAAAATAAGAGTCTATGCCCACAGTTCAGACAAGATGCTGTGAAGGCCTGAACTGAAGTCATGCTGGGGATTAGGTTTGGATCACGCTTAGAAAGGAGGAGCTGGACTTGGCAGTGTGGGGGGTTGAGGAGAAAGAGGTCTGTCTATGATGACTCCTAGGTTTCTGTTTGGGAAGCTGAGGGAATGTGGTGGCACTGTTGGAGACGGGGGAAGGAGGTTGAGGTGGGAAGGAAGCAGTTATCTTAGTTATACCAATTCTTAGGTGTCCAGAGTGCCACATGGTTCAAAGAAAGGACTCCAGAGTATAGATATTTGTGGCACTGGTTTGAACATTTCAAATTTAAGAGGGATATATATTGGAGGAGGGAGGGCAATGGGATACCTTTGAAGGGGAATGTCTACCACTCTGAGGTTAACATGGCTGGAGAGAGAAGGGGCAGCTCATGAATTAAGTTCATCTCCTACATCAGAGGAGTGACTGGGGCACCTCTTCTTTTTTAAAAGATTCATTTTAAAATTTATTATGCATGCAAGAACTGGGGTGTATGCCAGAGGTTTGGGGGGTGGGGTGAGAGGATTCACTAGAAACAGTGGGGAGTGGAACAGGCAGATCTACTGAAATGCACTGCTGAGGGGAGCAGTAGGAGACAGGAGAGGTTTGCTGCACCTTGTGGGTCAGCTCCCTGGCTGGGGATGGAACTTATGCTGCAGTGGCTGGCAATAGCTTGATGACTTTAACCTGCACCACAAGGAAGGCCCTGGTGTACTTCTTGAGAGCTCTAACTGACAAAGAATGGAGGGCAGTCTGTTAGGGATGAAAGTTAAAAAGGCAGCCAGCTGCTGACCATACTGAGCACTCAACTCTGGCCTTCACTGTCAGCATGCAAGGGAGGCAGGACTTTGGGTTATTGCTGAGAAAATGCCAAGGGCTTAAACAAGCTCAAGGTCTGCATATTGCAGGACTCTATAGCCCTTACCCTAGGGCTGGCACTATCAAGCTGCTCTACTTTGTCATGATGCATGAATTAAACCCATCAGAGCCAGCCTGGCCTGGAGTGGGGGCTGATAATGTTGCCCCCCACCCCCAATCAAGCATGCCAAGGCAGCCAGTCATGCTGAGGATTCCAAGTAATAGCATTAGGAAGGTGAGCCTAGGGCTTCTCAGCCAGGGAGCAGTGTCATTCAAGTAGATTATTCCAGCATTTGTGCTTCCAGAAATAGGTCAGAGAGAAAATGTACAGCCAGAAGAACAGCTAGGTTAAGAGATTGTTATGTTCAGGGGAAGAGGAGATGAGCTCTCCAGAGTAGCAGTGTCAGAAATGGAAGGCATGAGGAACCCAGGAAACCAAGTAGAGGAGGAATAGAAGAAGAGCATTAAGAGAAATCAAGAAAATGAGATGAAGAAATAAATGCCAATATTAAAAATCTGGATAGGGGCAATATTTTCCTTCTCAGACTGAATTTTACTCTTTCAAATTATGAGCTGTAATATTCATTTTAAGTAATTGGAAACAGAAGGACATGAAGAATGAAAATAAATCACCTGTATGTAGCTATATCAATAAATAACCATCTCTGCATTTCTCTAGTATCTTTATAAGGATATCTGTGTATACTTTAAAAAACAGGAATTATTAGCCACATGCAATTTTGAACTTTATTTTTCTGCTAACAGTATTTTCAGCTTCACATGAATTTGCATACTCTTGGAAAACACCATTTTTTAGTGGGGACCACAAGTTTTGAATTCTATCCACCTTAAATCAAATCACATTTTGGAACTGGTTGGTTAAACACGAATAAGCTGGGAACTAAATTGAAAAGATTCTATTGTTTTAAAAATATTAATGTTGTATTTATTCACTGCAGAAAGTTTGTAAAAATCCTAAAGCATAAGGAACAAGTAATCGCCTGTAGCTCCACAATCCCATCTACATTTTGGTATATGCAATGACAGATTTTCAAGACCACTGGGCCCACACTGCTTACATGTACTATTTACATTTTTATATCCTGATTTTTTTTTTTAGTACTTATACCACTGGATAAATTAAACTTTAGCACATTCTATTATACCTATTGCCAATAATCTTTTTTTTATAACGAGGGAACCTGTCATTGCTATAACAAATGAGCATTTTGATAAGAAAATTATAAAAACCCTTGTGTATTATATCTCAATAAAACTGCTTTTCTTTTCACTGAGTGAAAGAGTTGAACCCACATTTCACAAATGCAGATATTCATGTGGTCAATCAACATATAAAGAGAAGCTCAACATCATCATTCATCAAAGAATGGTGAACTAAGCTACATAGTGATGTCACTGTTTCCTCACCAGAATAACTAAATGAGAAAGACAAATAATCTGAAGTATGGGGAAGGATGTGGAGAACTAGCTCTCTCTCCTTGCAGGTGGGAATATAAATTGGTTTAACTACTTTAGAAAAGTGATTGCACAGGCTTATTAAAGCTAAGCATGTGTATAACCTCTGACAGTTCTACTCCTGGGTATATATTCAGCAGAAATGAATTTAAAGCTTCAAAACAACAAACAATGTCACAGCATTTTTATACACAATAGCCCCCAGCTGGGCAAACCCTAATCTTCACCAGCAGTAGACAAGATCAATTGTGTTATGTTCATGCAGTAAAAAAGGATAAACCACTGATGTATCTCACAGACCTATTATGGCTATAAAATGGCAAATGTCTTTCTATTCTAATGGCAAATCCCTTTCTATTTTTCCTAAGCTGCATTCCGAGACTTATGTTGACAAGTAGTATCACTGGAGTCAGTTATAAAATTAATAAAATGATTTTCAAGAGGCTTAAGGTTTTCCCTGGTGCCAATACTAAATACATTTTTTTTTAAAACAAAACATATCATTTCAGAAAAAAATGCCAGTGAAAACTCAAAACATACAGAGTAACCACTACCACTTCTCCTACCCCATGCTCCCACTGCCTGGAAAAGAACATGGTGGGTACATATCAAGACAGTCTTGAGCATTTAAGAAAGCCTAAGTATTCTAAGATAACATTAACACATACACACCTTCCACAGAGCCAACACTTGGAACCGATCAACAGAAAGACGAGAAGTTCAAGCTGCAGCTTGAAGGTGCAAAAGTAAGTGCAATACATCTAATCTCCTTACCCGGCATTAAGCCCAGCTGCTGCTCTTTCCACCTGCAGGCACAGCCCATGGCCTGGCTCTCACTGCCATCTGCATCCTTCACTCATCCCTGTAACTTCTGCTGCTCCCTGATGCCCATCCTCAGATGCCCTGGTGACCAGGTTTCTTGAGTTAGTTCTCGGCCTGCTGCAGGAGGCCAAGTTCAGCTGGCTTAACCTGGTGACTCCATATACACGAGCAACTCAACACTCACCTGTGACTGCATGTAGTCAGCACCATCTGCCTCCAGCACCATCCAACCAGCATCACCTTCCCACCGTCAGCTTTGCAGAACTGATCAAGACTGAGGTGTGCACCTTGCTTGCCCCGTGCTCCACGCATAAATGTCTTGGCTTCTGCAGTTCCACTTGCCTTGATCCCAAACAAGATCTACTCTTTCCCAAGTATGATGTACACTGGTACCTTCTCCCTTCAAATCTATGAAGACTTTGCTCCTGCACTGTCTCTCATTTTGAAGCTGCAAGATGAGGGGCAACATATCGTGCCTGACTGGCAGGAGCTCACAGGTCAACAGAGGAAATGGGCCAAGTTACTTGCTGATAACTCCGGATAGGAGGTGTATGCCAGGCATAAGGCACGATTTATAGGATCTGAAAGGGAAGAGTAGTGGAGAGGCCGGCAAGGCTCAGAGAAGCCAAGGGACATGGGTTAGACACCCTGCCAATTCTGCTCTCATTCTGATACAAGCTGGGAGCCCCACAGAGATGGCCTAAAGCATATACTTACTTCCTCTCTAGAAATTTTTACATACTTTTTATGAGATATTATGACTTTATAAAGATTCCAACATTTTTAAGCATGACCCTTAAAGACATAAAACTTGTGCACTTAAGGGAAATGTAATCTCCTAGCAATGAAAAGAACCTGACCCACTTCATTTGGTAATTTATTTTATTGATTAAACTATTATGAAGTTTTACCTTTCCATTTCATCATATACAAAATAGCAAAGTAAAGTAAATTAAATGGGTTATCATATGAAAAGACAGTCTATGTATTAGCAGGGCAATATTGCTTTATAATCCTGTATACACTCCACCCCTAAGGAACATGTCTATGATAGCTACTTACAGCCATTGCTGTCACTGTTAGAAATAGAAGGATTTTCTGAGGCCTCTGGGGTGCCGTAAAGGCCAAAAGGCCAAGCTTGGAATTCTTAACAAGTGACCTTTAGGCTCTGAAAGGAAGGAATGGGGAAAAGTTTTGGAGGCTAACGAATAGTCAGTTCCCATAAAACATGAGAATACAGGTTTCTTAAAAGGAACTGACAACTCTGGTCACTTTATGAGAAAATTTAAGTATTATTTGAGAAAATCATTTAAGTTGCCTCTTTAAATTTAGTTTTTTAAGAAGTTATTTTGAAAGATACTAAACAATAGAAAATTATGGCAAATATGTTAGCAGATAAAATTTAAAGAAATGTTCTTTCAAAGGAGATAAATTATGTGACAATTAAGCTTTAATAATATATTAGTTTAACATACATACATAAAATACATCATATGTTTCACTTCAGATTGAATATTCTCTTAAAAATTAGGGGGATCTAAAATAATAAATATATTTTATGCTGAAGCATTTTCAATAAAAAGTCAGTGGAACACCCCCTTTATCCTTTAGCTGTAGGGAAAGAGGACTTTTGATAGGTGGCCAAATGAGATTTTTCTTAGAAGATTCAGCCCTGGAATCCACTTGTGGCTTCATGAGTGTACCTGAGCCTAGACACTTAGGAAACATTGTTCCTAGATCTCACTCCCTCTGGGTGGAGTCCTGTCACAAGATACAGATAGACCGAGAAGTACCTGAAAGATAATATGAACCTTCCAAGGATTCTAGTCTAAGCTGGGTAAGATTCCCATGCCAGCCATAGCCTTCCCAACCACAGCTTATATGTGGCAGTAGTAGACACCATCGTTGTGTGAGAGAGGATGTAGCTTACTGGGAGAACTTTACTTTCTTCAGTAAGTCACATTCCAAAGCATTTCCAAATCCAATTAATAAACCACATCCCTCACATTTGACCTTCATTTAGCTTTTAAGGGAAAATTGCATTTACTTTCTTTTCTCCTGCTATAATCTACGAAGAAAGCCCAACTTAAAACTACTGGGGATCTGAATCATTTCCAGAGCATGGGGAGAAGGGGTAAAAGGAAAGGTGACTTGGAAGAGATATTTGATATCCAGCATCAGCTGAGACGAGTCCTCCCGGCTACTTAGGAGAGCCTGAAATTAGAACCAGAAAAAAAAAGATGGGTAAGAAAACCAGTATATTCTGCTTTATTGCTATCTGCAAATCAAGAATAAAGAAAATTTAATTATCTCCAATGAAAATTTGCTTTTAAAATCAGGAAAGATAACACACAAAAGGGTTTTTTTAATAGCACCCTCTCAGGAGAAATGGTCTACCTGGACTTCCTTACTTGATCTGTTTTACTGAAGGAATTAATTTCCCACAGGGTGGATGATTGTAAATTGATGTCATTTCTATTCTTATCTATTTCCATGACAGTTTCAAACTTCTATGGTCTCAGGACCCCCTTTTACTCTTAAAAAAACATCAAAGACCTTAAAGGGTTTTGATATATATGGCTATAACTATCAATACTTATCATATTCTAAATTAAAATAATAATTTAAACATTTATTAATTAAAATAATAATTTAAACATTTATAGTTAAAATAACAGTAAACTCAACACCTGCTAATACATATTTTTATTGACAAGTAACTATTTTCCAAAACAAAACAATTAATGAGAAGTAGTACTGTTTCATTTTTGTAAATCTCTTTAATATCTGACTTAGTGGAAAACAGGTAGAAACTTGTCTGTTTCCAACTTTGACCTGCTGTGGTATCATTTTGAGTTAAGTCTATGAAGAAAAGTTTGTCCATGTAAGGGTATTTTGGAAAAGAGAAGATTCTACTGTCTCCTGAACAGATCTCCAGGACTCCCAGGGATCCTTGAAACAGAACTGCTGCCCTAGTTCATTGGGAAAGAAACTTTCAGGGATAAAAATAAGAAAAATCCGTGAGTATCTCTTTGTTTCTCTTCCTGCTCACTTACAGAGTACTGATTAAAAACATGATGTGAAGGAACACAGTACATGAACCATGGAGCTTTCCATGACTCTCCATAGGGACTAAAATGGTTTCTGACAACAGGGAGAATCTCACAGGGAAAATGCCTGCTGCTTCTGAGGTGAGTGCATTCCATTTGCATGCTTGGTAAATATACTTTAATCATGGGTTCCTATAATGCTAATTAAATATCAATTTCCTATACTTCTCTTAGGAGTTAAGATTAAAAGCACGCGCTTCAGGATCTCACCTGTACTTTGCGAACAAAGGATGGAGTCACTCTTTTCTCGAAGTCATCTATAGGTGTGTATGAATTAAGGATCTTTATGATCTGTGATTACACAAGATGGGATTAGAATTGGTTAAGAACAACTCTGCCTATGAAATACTGGGCCCTGTGAGAACTTCTGGAAACTACAGGTAGTTCTTTTATACAATTATCTGGCTCTAGAAACCATGTATTAGAAAAGAGAAGCAGCAACAAGGCTGCCTGAGAGAGAGGTTCCAAAGTTTCCTTGGCTAAGCTGTTCTGCAAATTTTTATCTTTAAGCCATTCTTCTAAGTAGCTGATGTTGCATCTGGAATAAAAGCCACCGGTGAGAAGAGCAAAGAAGGAGCAGAGACAAACCACAGAATTTGATGAAGGGAAGAGAACTCCTTCACCCAGCACCCTTGCAATCCCCTACCACCCATCTGTGAGTACGTAGGGCAGGAAAAGTGCCTTTTGAATTCTCATGCTTTTAAGGCCTAGAGTTAGTATCTAATAAATACTTATTAGATAGAAGGGTAGACCACAGGAAATAAGCTTGCTCCCCAAGGAGCACAGACTCAGGGTCACCCCACGACTAGCTAAGTAAGGAAGGTGACACCAATACACTGCTATGTTACCTGCACAGCAGATAGTGACGTGCAGCGTTCGGAAATCTCCTTGGCGTCACTGTCTGTGGTCTTCTTGACTTGCAGCAACCAGGCTGCCTGAGAGAGAGGTTCCAAAGTTTCCTTGGCTAAGCTGTTCTGCAAGTTTTTATCTTTAAGCCATTCTTCTAAGTAGCTGATGTTGCACCTGGAATAAAAGCCACAGGAGCAGAGAAGAGCAGGTGATCCACTTAGACTCTAGGAGTCTAAAGAGACTGTAACAAGTCCCCCAGTGTGTCCCAAGAGAGTCCCAGGGCTCATTATCTTAGAATCACAGTCCAGTAGTTCTGGATCATGTCTCATGATCCATTGGTTGAAGGAGCACAATGGTCTAGGCTGAAGGGCACCTTTCTTCAGTAAGTCACATTCTGAAGCATTTCCAATTCCAATTAATAAACCACATCCCTCACATTTTGAGCTTCATTTAGCTTTTAAGGGAAAATTGCATTTACTTTCTTTTTTCCTGCTATAATCTATGGAGAAAGCGCAACTTAAAAGTACTGGGGATCTGAATCATTTCCAGAGCATGGGGAAACGGGTAAAAGGAAAGGTGACTTGGAAGAGATATTTGGTATCCAGCATCAGCTGTGACAAATCCACCCAGATTTGTCAAATAACAGTGACTTCAATAATGTAATGTAATACATACATATATAAATATATATATATATATATTTTTATATATATTTGGAAAAAGAGATTATCCTAATTTGAAATGCAATAAAAAACAATGAAATAAAAAATACTCTAATAGACCTATAAATCTATTAAAGGAAAAATCATAGTGATATTTGAAAAGAAAACTTACATTGGTATAAAAATTTTAATTTCCAAACTGAGAAAATTTTCAGTTGCAAGAGGCTATAAGTCCCCTATTTTTTTTTCCTTCTTCTTCTTTTTTTTTTTTTTTATTGAAGTAATGTTGGTGTACATTGCTGTTGGTACTTTGGAAGTACAGGACCCTCTTCTACCCTTTAAGGTAGTGATACTGTGGTGCACCAGCCACCAAATCATCCGTAGTCCACTAACACTGAGCTCCTTCCCCCTAAATGTTCTTGTTTCTGTCAGTAATGACCATAGGTTAATGAGTCAAGAGGAATGGGGTTTAATCTCACCAGTCTACTGAGAGCTTGGGGAGTTACTCACTCTCTCTGGATAATTGAGGTGTTCAGAACCTCAGGCATTACTAGGCTAAGTATATAAAGGCACAGCTGTTATGGAAAATAGTCTGGCAATTCCTCAAAATGTTAAATATCAATCGACCCAATAATTCCATTCCTAAACATTCCTAGATAAATACTAAAGAGAACTGAAAACATATATATATATATATATATATATATATACACACACACACACAGAGCAAACATGTCCAAAAAAATCATACACAAACATTCATGTTATGCTATGCTGATATAGTGGGAAATCACTCAGAAATAAAAAGGAATGAGGTACTCATAAATGCTACAACACGGATGAAGACAGGAAACATTATGTTAAGTGAAGAAGCCAGTCATAAAAGTCAGTAAACTTTAAATTCCACTTATTTAAAAAAATGACCAGAATAGCCAACTTCATAGAGGAAAAAGTAATATATTCATGGTGGCCTAGCTGAGGCAGAAGGTGGAATGTGGGAAAGGGATAAGAGTTGCTGCAAACACTTCCTTTTTGGTGATTAAGTAATATTCTAAATTCCCATGATGATTTTCACAACTCTAAGTCCACCAGAACCCAATGAACTAATAAACACGTTAAGAAGGTGAACTTTATGGAATGCAATTTTGAAGATGTTTTTAAATCTGAGTGTTTATGAGATGATTTCTAAGGTAAATTCCAACTTTGATCTTCCAGATTAGTATCTTTTCTTGAGGTTATTAAATTGGGATCTTTAGTTTAATTTAATTATGGTAAAACAACATACTTTGTCCACCAAACACTTAGAAAGAGAAGGTAGAATGGAGGTTGCCCAGGGCTAAGGAGTGAGGGAAGAGGGGAGTTTTTCAAAGCATACAGAGGTTCAGTTCTGCAAGACGGAAAAGTTTTAGGGCTCTGTTGCCAAACACTGTGCACGCCATCTACACTAATGTACCGAACACTAAAAAAAAAAAAATGGTTAATACTATGGATGTCATTTTATTTTTTCTTTACCATACACAATAAACTCCAGGTGCATACAGGTTAAAATATACCCTACATTATAATACTAGTGATACCAACCATACCTCTAGGACCTCTTCAGGTTTATTTTTGAAATGAAACATGATTTCAAGTCTCTTTACATTTGCTAAGATTTTCTTTTCTGAACCAGAATATGGTCTACTTTTGTGACCAAGCACAGTAAAAATGGAGGTATAGTCTGGCTGTCAGAAGAACGTTCCGTAATGTAGTTAGATCATTTATGGTATTTTTAGTTCTTCCTTATCTTTGCTGATATTCTGTTAGCTCTATTTACTACTAAGAAGAGAGACAAAGTCACCAATTATAATTATAGATCAATTCATTTATTTTGTAGTTAGGTGAATTCACATTAAGTTTTGTTGCTAGGTGCACAGACACTAAGTATCATTCTATCTTTAAACTAGCAGGCAAATTATAGATCTAAAACATACAGCCAGAGAGAGCTCCAAGCAGGGGAATGAAGGGACTATGGTGACAGTTGACAGGTCATGTAGTGGTGGGAAATTTATGGGAACTACACCTGAGGGGAGAAATCAAATACTGTACAAAAATGAACAATGATGTATGAAAATTTAAAGTTTAAAAATTAAAAAACTGTTATGTCTTTTTGGTGAGTTAACTTTTCTATCACTGTGGGCAACAGGGCATCTGTTGGGAACTGTGACATAAACAACACTTTTTCTCATTGGCTAGAAGGTCTGAAAATTCTCCTCTGAAAACTGAAACCTAGTGTCACAGGAATTTGCCATCCTACACTGTGAGGATAAGAACTAAGCTGTAGGTTTGTAATTGTTTAAACAGTGAAATAACACAGTGTATGTCTCATGCTTATTTCTTGGCTAAGAGTCTTCTTGATCACTTTCCTTTACATCACTACCATCACCACCACCCCAGTTATACACACACATACATACATATATGAGACCTTAAATATGTTTTCTAAGAATGTGAGAACATTAATTCAAACAATGGCTCAGGTTCTGTGTTTCCTCAACTTGGAGAAACAAGAGCTCAGATACCTCAAAACCATGGATTACTGTGTCCTCAGGATGAAATCCAAATGTCTTAATTAAGATGTGTTCTAGGTCCACTTATTCTGGACCCAACCTGCCACTCTACCTTGGTTTTGCTTCTCCCCCAAAAAACATTTTCTGCATAGTCTAGGCAGGTATTCTTGCCTGAGAAGGGGCCCTCCCTATGCCTTTTCCAGTCACACTTCTCCTGATTAAAATGGTCTTTTGCCTTTAAAAAAAAAAAAACCATCCAATGCACAGTGTTCAGGCCTTTTGAACTTTTCTGTCCTTTCTAAACTCTCCTTGAAGCACTTCCTACACGACCTCCTTGGGACTTGGTTATAGTTACCTTGAATTTTTATTTAGCTATATGATCCTCTCAAGGGCAGTGGGTGCAAAGCACCCATTCCTTTGTGCTCTATGTTTTATAGCAGGTAGTGCTCAGAAGTGGTGGTTAAAAAATACCAGAGAGTAATGGTAACTACAAGAGGCCAGAATTTAAAATACACAATCACCATTCCCAGTCAGCTACTTGACCCAAGTATCAAGTTAGCTGGTATGCCTTGATGGCAGGAGGGGCCAGGCATCAAAAGCAGGCACCTCCAAGGTCCTAGAGGCATCTTGCACACAGCACAGCTCATACAAAGCAGGGGAAGTAGTATGTGGCCTCCGACTTTAAGAGCATTCTTTCTGGCCATCCTCTCAGAGGTAAACTGTTGTATGGGGTTACCTTATCTGCATCCCTTTTCTGCAGGAGCACATGTCTTTGCGCAAGAAGAGGCTGTTGAGGGTGACCGCCCCGATCAGGAAGAAGAGCTGCTTCACAGCCTGCTTCACCAGCTCTGGGTCCAGGCCGTTCTGGCACATGGTGCTGTAGAAGTAGCTCAGCTGCTGTAGGATTGACGTCATGGTGTAGGCATCCGTGTCGTCGATGCTGGAAGACCGCTTCCGGAAGCCTGTAGGCTTCAGGCCAGAAATGCCCTGCAGACTCTCATACTCCAACATGCCTGGCACTACAGAGGAAGATGGAAACTTTGATGGTACACACACTGGGGGAAAACCAGAGAGCCTTAACCAGTGTTGTTAATGTGTCTGTTATAGGAGTGGGGCATTTTTCTACAAGCAGCAGTAGTGTACGTAGTTGTGACAGAAAAAACAAAGGAGTCAAGGACTGGGGCACTTGGGAGTGCAGGTGGTGGATTGAGATAGGCAGCTGTTTATAGCTGGCAACAGCTCCTCTTAGCTTGGCACACTGCGTCCTTCATCTTCCCAGGAGAGAGAGCAGGTGAGCAAGATTAAGTCATGATCTGCACCATTTAAAAGCTGAAGTACTTAAGATTTAGGAAATTGACGATATTATAGAAGAATTTGAGTAGTTCTTCAAGATTTCGAAAATGCTTGGCTGAGGTTTACATTACCCACATAAGCAGCAAGTTTTCCTGTCTTAAATTTCAGAAAGTATCACAGAAAGAAAAAGATGAAGCATGTGCTTCCATATTTGTAATCACTGTAAACATTCAAATAACTAAAAGTGGAACATATACACAATTAAACTTTCATGGTTTTAAAATTATACTCTTTGTAATCACACATTCCATACACCAAATTTATTTTTTAAAGACTCTATGTCCTTGTAAATTTTTTTGGTCATTACTTCTTTTCTTACCTATTATTGGTTGAATGTTATTTTCCATTACAATAATGAGCTGATGATATATTCGTATAGCAACATCACTAAGAATCTGTCTGTATTCTGAAAGGTCAAAATTATTCAAGCAATTCTTATTCTGATGTGGACTGTTGTGCTTCATGAATTCCTGAAATTTTGAGAATATAAACATATTAGAATAATGTAGATAATGTGGCAAATGAAAATGCTGTCTCTGCTAAAAATATTACAATCAGTTTATACTATAATTCCTACACTTCAAAACTTAATGTCTGACTTGTATCCAGTGAGTTATTGATGTTTGGGGTAGCATTTATTTTCAGTAACTAAATATCATTGTACCACCTAGTTCCCCACAAATAGGTGACACCAGAGCTGACTGACCTCAATGGAAAACAACTCCAGTGGAAGCTCATAGAAACAAACTACTGTAAGAGGTTAGTAGATGTAATAAATAAGATCCATACATGAATATTTACAGAGTATAGATAGATTAGTCTGAAATATTTTAAAATGTATATTGTGGATTGCATATTTGTGGTCTCCTGTAAATTCATGTGCTAAATCCCTAAATTCTTTTTTTTTAAGATTTTACTTATTTATGCGTATAGAACTAGGGTTAAGGCCAAAAGTACAGGGGCAGTGAGATGATTCACCAGAGACAGAGTGGGAGCAGAACAGGCAGACTGATGAAGTACCCTACTGAGGGAAGCAGTGGTTGAGACATGAGATGTCTGCTGTGCAATGTGGATCACCTCCAGGGCCAGGGATAGAATTCACACTGAAGCGGATGAGGCTAGCTTGTTGTGCTGCACTTTAACCTGCTGCACCTCCAGAGAGGGCCTAAGTCCCTAAATTGTAATGGGAATATTTTTGGAGATGGAGCCTTTGAGGAAGGAATTGAGATTAAAAATAATAGAAACAGGCCCTCCCTGGTGGCGCAGCGGGTTAAAGCACTGCACTAAGAAACTAAAGCCACTTCCGCATGAGTTCGATTCCCGCCTGCCCCAGAGGTGACCACATGGCGAGGCAGACCTCTCCTGACCCGTCCACTGCTCCCCTCAGCAGTGTACTTCGTTGATCTGCCTGTTCTACTTCCTGCTCTGTCTCTGGTGAATGCTCTCACCCTCCGCATCTCTGGCCTGTACCCCAGTTCTGTACAAATAAATAAATAAATCTTAAAAAAAAAATAATAATAGAAACAACCCAAATGTCCAAAACTAGATGATTGAATCAAGAAGATGTGGTATATATTCACAGTGGAATACTACTCAGCAATCAAAAAAGATAAACTCATGCCATTCATGGATGCCAACATGGATGAAGCTGGAAGCGATTATACTGAGTGAAATAAGTCAGAAGGAAAGAGAAAAATATTGAATGGTTTCACTTATAGGAGGAATTTAAGAGAACCAAATAAGAAATGGGGGATAAAAGTGTATTGTTGTTACAATACAAAACACAACAAAACAAAAACAAACAGACAATTATAAACCAGGGATGTCCTACAGGGAAGGGGGACAAGAAGGATCAGAAGGAGGGAGGAATGTGGGGAACTGCGGTGATGACAGATGGGTGAAATGGGGGAGGGTGGAAGTAAACATTGTTTTAAAATAACAGTAATGTACATACATAAATAAAATTTTAAATGTTTTAAAAAGGCAACTTTAGGTTGTAAAAAAAAAAAGATTAAATTAGGTTATAAGGGTGGGGCCCTGATCTGACAGGATTAGTGTCCTTACAAGAGACACTAAAGAGGCTCCATCTCTCTTCCACTCTGAGGAAAGGCCATGTGATAAGGTGGCTCTCTGCAGGAAGAGGGTCCTCACCTGACCTCAGACTGTGAGAAAATTAGTTTCCGTTACTTAAAACATCCACTCTTTTTTTTTTAATAGTAGCAATTCAAGAAAACTAGTATGTTTAACATATTAACATTTGAGGAGATAAAATAAATCACTATGGATTAGAGCAGAGGAAAAAGGAATTGTTGAAATTTTAGAAATAAAAATGTAAAGATTAAAAAACACTCATACATGAATGAATGGGACACAGAAAGGATAAAAAAAAAAACAGGCGTTGAATAATATCCTCTTCCACTAATGTCTCACATAAATGGACAATATGTGTCCTCCGTCTCCCACTCCCCCATACCTTTGGTATTCTTTTAGTCAGAAGTTAGACTTTCTTTACTTATTTTTCCTTTTAATCTATTTTACTAGTAGGATTATTATTTTTTTTTAAGATTTATGATTTTATTTATTTGTTCATATAGAACTGGGGTATAGGCCAGAGGCTCAGGGGCAGCAAGAGGTTTCACCAGAGACAGAGTGGGGAACAGAACAGGCAGATGGACGAAGTACACTGCTGAGGGGAGCAGCGGGCGGGTCAGGAGAGGTCTGCCAGGCCATGTGGTCACCTCTGGGGCAGGCGGGAATCGAACTCATGCGGAAGTGGCTTTAGATTCTCAGTGCTGTGCTTTAACCTGCTGTGCTACCAGAGAGGGCCAGTAGGATTATTTTTATACTTGATTTTACTTTTTCTCCATTGGGACAATTGACTGTCTATTGGAAGAAGATATGAGGGCATTCATTACTCCAAGGTTAATTTGGGATAAATGTATTAATTGACAAATTGTGCGGACAAATTGTGAATGCCGTATTTGATTTATAAGAGTTTCAAATAATGTATGAGAATATTTTCATGACCTCAAGGTAGGGAAGAATTTTTTGAAGAAGACACTAACACCTATGTTATAAAAGAAGAGATTTCAGAACACCAAAATAAAAAAACTGCACATGCACATGACAAAGGGTGCTATAAAAAGTTAGAAGGCAAGCCACAATCTGTCCATAATACAACAAGATCTCCTACAATCAATAAGAAAAGAAAGACCCCTAAAAAATGTGGACCAGATATGTATAGTAAATTTAAAAGAAAGTCCAAGTAGCCAAAAAACACATGAAGTGAGGCCTGACCTCACAGTCTCACCTTCGAGACTGTGCAGTTTTATACCACAGCAATAAAACAAATACCACAATAAAGTGAGCCATACATTTTTGTAATTTTCCCAATACATATAAATGTTACAGTTACACTGTAGTGTAGTCTTTTGTCTAAGTCCTAATAGCATTATGTCTAAAAAAAGCAATGTGTAGACCAAAAAATATTTTATTGCTAAAAATGCTAACCCTCACTTGAACTGCTAGAAAAATGTTCCCAGTAGACTAGTTGACACAGTTGCCACACACCGTCAATTTGTAAAAAGCACAATTGTATGTGAAATGAAGTGACAGGCAATAAAACAAGGCCTATAATTTCAATATAAGATAACACAATATGGTTTTACATCCATACCTTTTACCGTAAGATTTGTAAATAATAAAATGTCTCATTATCTAGGGTCACCAAGGGATCAGACACTCTGAGATTTACACACTGCTAGTGAGATCATAAAATGGTTGTACCATTTTGGAGAGCCGTGAAAACTTTAAAATGATTTTGTTATTTCTTGGTCAATAAAACTTGCTCTGTAAGTACTTGAAATCAGGTGGAGACTCCTTTATGGTGTGCAGCAAAGGATTTTCAGATTATGGAAGTGTCATCAGAATTTTAAAGAGAGAAGAGCCCTGAGGAAACAGGCGTGTTGAACTAAAGGCTGTATTTTAGTCATAATATTAAACATTTCAGAGTTTTACAAGAAGACTTTAGAAGAAAGCTTTAAAAAACATTGAATTTACCTCAATGATTTAAGTCAAGGAAATCAAAGTCCATCACCAAGTCCAGAGTCTAAGGCTCTTTCTAGAAGCCTTTTTCCTAGGACTTGTGTCCAACTGGTGAGGTGAAGCTGGCCTCCTGGTAAGGAGGGCCTGAGCCCCTGGGTGCAGAGGTCCCTACAGCTGGACGTCCCAGTACCCAGACCCGCCATGAGCTGAGGCGCATGACAAGCCTGCAGAGCTGTGGGCAGCATAGCACACACAGCACCTCCTACCTCTTCTCCACTGTACTGCTTCAGGCAATTGAGGAAATGACAAGTATTGGAAAGCCAAAAAGAGAGCATCTCGAAGTCTTTCATGTGTTCCTTAAAAAAAACAAAAAAACAAAAAAAAAAACAAGCGAAGACAAAGTTGGATTTTGTGATTATTGGTGCCTGTGAGCTCAAAACACATCTTGTCCTGTTTCTAGTTAGCTGGTGGCTTCTGACCAAAACAAATCCTCCTACTCATTAAAACCTTTACTAAACTTAATTTTAAGTATATTATAGAAGCTCAATTTTAAGATATTTAAAGTATATGTCATGGTGGCTTGAAATATGTATAACTGTGACCGAATTCTCTCTACCTAAAGTACTCACCCATCACCTCATTTGTCTTTCCTCTCTTTTTTAAGAACACTAAGTTCTACTGAATTAGCAAATTTCAATTATATAATACAGTGTTATCAACTATCGCCACCATTTTAAAATATTACATCATCAGACCTTGTTCATCTTATAGCTGAAAGTTCATACCCATTACATTTATACTACCAACAAGCTTATACATAGATCAGCTCATGGTTTGTGAAGTATTTCTATGCGGGTCATGTCACCAGCTATGTTCTTGACGCAGGCACTGCAGGGACACCTGAGTCTATGCCCTTACTGCCCACGGCCTACATTCTCCCTGGGCATACTAACAGTTGATGTGATGGAGGTGGACACTGCCACAGAAGCTTTGAGGATGGAGAGATGATGGGGAACCCCGGTAGCTAAGAACACCTCATCCTAGAGGTAGAAGGAAGCTCTCCTTGAAGGGAAAGATAGCTGGAGGAGAAGAGTTCAGGACCAAGAATCTCTTGGGGAGAACACTCCCTATGGAGCAGGAAGAAGAGTGCAGTTAGGGAGCCAGAGGTACAATGATCAGAGAGATAAGAAAGCTGGGAGAGTCCTAGGATTTGAAAGACAGGGTAGGAGCATTTCAAAGAGATGCTATTGCTGCTTCAGTTACGGTAAGGAGAATAAAAATGAAGGAAACACCATGGGACTCAGCAAGAGGAATTTTACTAATGCGCTTTCTGTGTAGTAACGGGAGCATAAGCTAAATGACAATTGGTGAAAAAAAAGAATTGATGGAGAACACTAATTTAACTTGGCACTTGGGTGTACAGCAGCTAGGAAGGATGTGGGCCAAGTGGTCTGCTTAATGAGCTGTACACCCCCTGGGGATGGGCAGGTCCAGGCACAGAGGCAGAGAGGGGAGGGAACTGCTGGACAGTTAAGCTGGAAGGTCTATACTGTTCATGCACCTTCTGGATTCTGAGTATTTAAACATTCCAGAGCAGCAAGATGGGGCAAGTGCTCCAGGCCTATGGCCTGGAGTGCAATATAAGTGTGCCCAAAGAAAAGGCAGAGTATGAAAATATGGACAGGAAATACAACAATCCATGGGAGCCACTTCCAAGCACATTGAGGGAGCTACAGTGAAGACAGTGAATTAAAAGCACCCAGCACTAAACAAATGCTAATTTTCTACTAATTCATGATGAAAAATGAATTTTTAAAAATCAACATCTGTGTGTGAGTGTTGGGGGAGGGCGGCACATTATTCTGACCTCTCATATATTCACTGTTTTTATTCTTCCACTTTACTGTAGGATCTAAAACCAGATTTGCTTACTCATGGCTCTTCTGGGACATATATTTTAATAAAGAAAGATAGGACTTCCTCAATTGAAAGATTCAGAGATAGCCCACATCAAATACTGTTTCTTATTTAAAAGGGATGAAAAAGAATGGACCTGTATTTTCTGCTCCTTAATTAATATGCTGCTCATCTTTGCTTCTGGATTGGGACTGTGGTTTTACTTTTCAATCCTTTCCATTCCTCCCTGCTCATTCATTACACTGACAGAAGGCATCCCATTGCAGTCGGGATCTCACCTCTTGGGGGACAGAAGTGGTGGGGTTGGCTACCAGGTTGTCATCTAGAAGCTAAGGCTTTGTGGTTTAGCTGACAGATCTCTGCCCTTGGGGATTCCTGATCTTATTTGTCCTCTCCTAAGAGCTTGGTTTCTTTCCCCAATTGTGCCTAAAACTGGTCTGAGAAATCATGTGATTCACTAAAAACTGGGCAGGGAAGGACAATCATTCCCACAGAAGCTCCGAGAGTAGTTATAATACCAACAGCCAAAGTCAGAGGCAGTTCCTACCTTCACCACCTGCTTGATGCCATTTATGGCACTGTTCATGAGGGACTTGAGCATGTTGGCATCGTTGAGAGAGTCTGCATAGCGCACACACATGAACAGGATGTGTGCCGGCAGCCCCGGGATCATGTTCACCACCACGCCTCGGGGCTTCAGGTCTGAAGCAGAGAGAGCCAATGAGATCACAGCTGGTGCCCATGCTCCCTGTCCCACTGAAAGCGGACAGGGCCTGACAACAGGGGCAGGGGTTGTTTGCTTTTCTGTTCTTGATGCAGTACCCCAACCCAGAAGGATGTGTTTTCTCTTTGAGGAATTCTATCTGGCTCTTTTCTTGGCAAAAATACACAGATGTCACCTGCTCATTTTCTCACCTGCAAAGTACTTTTGCACTTTTAAAAGACTATGTAAGTCTTTTAAAATAACATTCCTCCATGGGGTGAGACCCTAGATTTAAGATTTCCTATGGAAGGGAGGAGCCCCAAGTTCATGTACCCCCACTGCAGCCGCTAAGGTAAGGAGTGAATGTGATCTCAGAAATTCCATACACCCGCCAAGGGTCAGCAAAATAGGTGAAAAACAGTCCTCTATAGGATGGTTGGCTGGCCTTGGAGAGAAGAGTATGGCAGGGAGACAGAACAAGGGTGAGGGAAGAGAGAAACTCAATAGAACAAACCTAAGCAAACAAAGACTTCCCCATGGCTGTAGTAAGAGGAACAGAGCCTCTCTGGTGGTGCAGGGGTTAAGTCTCAGCACCATGAAGCTATTGCCAGCCACTGTGGAATGAGTTCATCCCTGTCCAAGAAGCTACATGGAGCAGCAGACCTCTCTGGTCTCACCCGCTGCTCCCCTCAGCAGCATATTGCAGTGGATCCTCCTATTCTTTTCCCTACTCTGTTTCTGGTGATCCTCACACCTCTGGCCCATATCCCAGGCCTTGTATGCATAAATAAATAAAATAAATATGTTTTTAAACAGAGAGAGGAATAAAGAGGACACACAACTATGCCCCAGTGAAGATGGAAAGGAAATCATAGGGGTGCTCATATGCTCTGAGGGGTTTGGGGCTACACAGGGACCCTTTACTTTCTGATTGGATGCAGCAGTTTTCCCTCCCTCAGGAAAGCCATGTGGTTTGCAGGGCACACAGTTAATAAAGGTTGCCTAGGGCCACCAGCCCATGAGTGTACACACTGGAACATGCCATAACTGAGTGGTGTCTGGGAAGCCTCTGCCATACTGAAGGCACAACCGTGGCTTCTGTCCTGGTTCCTGAGTTGAGTTGAGACACAAAGATGAGATGTCTTCTACAATTAGACTCAAGAGGGCAATTTGGGTCCCCCCTGAGCAGTTGGAAATGTGTGGAGAGTTTTTTAGTTGCTACGACCAGGAGTTACTACTGGTTTCTAGGGGTAGACGTCAAAGACTCTGTTCAGTTCCTTCCTATGAACGGCCCCAAAGCAAAGAGCAATCTGGTCACCAGTGTGCTAAGGTGCAGGAGCTCTGGGTAAGGGGAGAAAGCAATGGAGAGAGGGAAGGGACCACCCCACCCCACACTATGGCAATGACGGAAGTTCAGGTTCTCAAAGACACAGCAAAAATTCAGCTCCATCCAGATTTCACTACCAAGAATGAGGTTTTGAATGAGCTTGGCTTCATCTTCTTGCTTGTATTCCAGGATTCCAAGGTACTCCGTGGATCCAGGGGACAAGTGCGCATCGCTGCCTGTGGATGGAAATAAACAGCTCAATATACAAAACAACTCCACAGACTATTTGAAGATACTCTACCCTGTCACTTTCCACTCTATTTTGGCTACTTTTCACATGGACGCTCATGGTTTACAGATAAATGAAAACTTCACTGAATCCTGAGGAATTTGCTGAAGCCCTGATTCTTATTTGGGAGCATATCAATCAGCACAACTGCTGCTGAAAAGATGAATAATCCTGAATAATTCTTCAAGGGGTCCGTATGCGGGCCTGGTATGTATCCCACACAGCAGGGCTATGAAGGCAACCCAGGATTTTGCTCCTGTCTTGAAGATGCTACTTCTGCTACAATTACGATTCACAAAACATTTGGTGTGGAGGGTGCATGAGCCTAATGAGGTGCATTAGTTTCATATGTGATTAATAAAGTTAACAAAATGAGTGGTTCAACAAAAGCCTTTTACAGTTCAGAAGACCAAAGCTGATTTTGTAATATGAATGTCATTTCTGTGAATGCTATGGATCTTTAAAAAGGGCTAAACTCAAAGCCCCAGCAGAGAAGTGTTTCTTCTGGAGGCTTTAGAGTGAAATCCATTCCTTGCCCTTTTCAGCTTCTAGAGAGTCCCTGCATTCTTTAGCTTAAGGTCACATCATTGGGACCTCATCTTCCATCAACATAGCTACTTCCTTTCCTCTGCCTCTATGATCACATCACCTTTTCTCACCCTGGCATTCCTCCTGCTCTCTTCTAAGGCCTCTGTGATTACACTGGACTAGCTGATTACAGATGGGCTAATCCCTTCATCTTAGTATTCTTAATCACATCTGTAAAACCACTTTTGCCATGGAAGGTAATGTATTCATAAGTACTTAAAAGTGGGATAAGGCCATTTTGGGGGAAGCCATGGGCTTTCCTGTGTTCTCTAAAGCTTCATGTCCTTTCTCAGAGGAGGATAAATAGGACACAGAGGTGTGGAAGACTAAGTTATGCTGCTGAATTTGAAGATGGAGGAAAGGCTCACAGCAAAGAAAAGAGGGTTGCCTCTAGAAGCTGGAAAATGAAAGGGCACAGATACCCCCAAAAGCAACACAGTCCTGTTGACAGGGCTGTGTGGGTAACAAAGAAGGTCATTTGGGTAAAGAGTTCACAAGTAATCTTATTGCTGCAAGAGAATTTGTCCTGTTGACTTATTAGGCCTGTTCTCTTGGGAATTGATAAAGTCAAAGTGTCAACTGTTACACTAAGCAGCTCTGTTTAGGAGGAAGACTTCTAATTACTAAGTTGTATGCAGATCTGGAAAACTATCAATGAAACAGACATTTCTAAGGTTTTCATACTTCGGTTACCCATGAGTGTGGCAGGCTGTATCCAGGCATGTTGCCTGCAGGGACCTTGGAAGTGACTGCGGCTTGCAGTACATGTGAGAGACATCAGCACCTTGCTGACAGCCACGTAACTGAGCGTGGCCACCAACACTCCAGCCCCACTGTGGCCTTCAGATAGCTACATCTCTGTGGATGGCATGACTACAGCTCAGCCAGAAACCCCCTCTCCCCCAATAAACACTCGTGGGCTCTCAACCCTCAGAAACTATGTGCTACTAAAGTGTTTGTTGCTGTAAGTTGCTATGTTTGGGAATAATTTGTTATATTGTAACTGGGTGGTCCCTAGGAGAAGGGAAGTTCCAGGTTCCCTGCCCCACCCAGAAGGAGGGTGGAACTGAGCGGGGAAAGGGGAGAGAGAAGAAGAGAGAAGACAGACAGATGGAGAAGGAGACCTAAGGAAGCCACATGGAGCAGCAAACATGTGATGAAGAAACCGGGCTTGTTTCCTGACCCTGGACTGGTTAAGGCAGATGTGGGTGAGATACCTGTAGGGAGGTGACTTATATTGATTTTGTATTTTGCTC